AAATGTGAATTTTCCAAGTGAATAATATAGAAATACTGAGGTGCTATAAATGTATGTATTATTTTCTACTGATTCAGATAACACTCTGATTATGAAAATATGTAGAGCAAATTTTGGCTAAACACCAGCTGAATCTGTTAGCAGCAAACTTTTCACTTTTGGGGACCACTTAAAATCTTTAATGCACACTTTTTACTACAAAAAGTATTGTATTATATCTTTTTTTTCTGATTATCACCACCTGCCTTTTTCATGCAAACTTTAAGCTAAAGCATTAAAATCTTCGAATCTACAGTTTTCCAAATAACTGCATTGATATTTCCATATCAATTAAATTCATTGAGCAAATAAATACTTTAAAGCCTGTTTAAGATTATGAGGGCACGTGTTTTCCACATTGATTTTTCTTTAAATATTTCCCTTCATGTTTCCTCTGTGAACTATGGAAGTAGGGAGCCAGAAGGGATATACTGCTTCTGCATTAGTGCCACTGGCCTTGGAGTGTAGCATGAACAGTGTTCCAGCGAGTCACCATTTTGAAGCTGGACCAGATGTGTGGCTGTGTTCTGGTGGGCAGGAAAGTCTCAAAATAACATGCAACAATCTGTCTGTGACTCATCAGCATATGTGTATGTGTGTGTCCCTAGTCAATGTTTTCGGCCAATTGGTGCTTAAAAATACTGACAATATTTTACCTCAGCTTGAATCTTGTGATTATCAACTGTGGATTTTCAGGAAAGACACAAAAAGGCAAATGACTAAAGGCATATGTAACAAATTGAGGACTGTAGTCCTCAAGGACTAGGAGAAGTTAACTAGGATCACAAATTGGGAATATTGCTTCATTAACTTAAATAGAACTCTGGAAAGTAACCATTTAAAAAAATATATATTTGTTGAACTAGTTGGTGTAGTTAGGTAATGTAAAGACAAACATTTGACTTTCTGCAGCCATGATTGTGATCTCCTCCATAATGATGAGCTACCATGGTTTTCTGTAATTACTTAGAGATACCGAAAAAGGCACTATCCTCATTTCTCAATTTAGAGTGCTAAAAAGACATCAGGGTCACAGACACATATAGACAGTAAAGTGTTTCAAAGATAGAGTGATGGATTCGCTTTTGTATTTTCCCAAGCTCCTACTTTAAAGCTGTAATTTTACTATATTAGGAAAGATCTTTATTTCCCATGTGTTCGATTGACATTTTCATTTTGTGTCTTTACTTTTTTGGGGGAAATTGTTGCCAGAGTGGGGTTCTGACTTTCACAAAATAATTTTGAGGTCATTCCTCCCTATGGGGAGATGAACAGGAAGGGTCTGGAGGGAGCAAGTTTAATTTAGGGTTCGAATGCTTATTTTAGAAAATAGGGAAAATGAAGGGAGTAGATGTGAAGTAAAAGATGTGGAGCATCTTTTCTGAGAGATGCTTGTGGTGCTACAATAGGAGAGATGCTCTACTTTCCTCCTTTTAAGGGTGGTGTTGTGGGCCATCAATGGGAAGAAGTGTCAAATGTATTTTGCTCAGAAAACATTTAAAAAAATTTAATAGTCAAATAGATCATATAATCATGTACTTCAAAATTCACAAAGAATAAAAAGTTATACAGTGAAAAACCTTTGTTTCACTTGAACCTCCCATCACTTAATTCCTCTTCTAAGAAGCAACTAATTTGATTAAGTTTTTCTGTTATCCTTCCAGAGATTTTATTTTTTTCTAAGCATTATATTTTTCTAAATAAATTTATATATATAGATCCTTTTTCTTCTCTTTTATGTAAATGATAGCATAACGTACCTACTGTTCTGCATCTTGTTTTTTCACTTAATACATGTTAGACCGCTTTCCTTACTCATACAAAAAAAGGAGTCCCTGTTCAATTTTATGGTTGTATGGTATTTCATTGTGAGAATGCACCAAAAATTATTTAATCAATTGGGTATTGACAAATGCTGAGGTTGCTTCCAATCTTTTGTTCTTATACAAATGTAAGAAGACTTGTGCTTTGCTGGTGGGGATGTAAAATGGTCTAGCCATTGTGGAAAACAGTTTGGTGGTTCCTCAGAAAGTTAAATATAGAATTACCAGATGATCCAGCAATTCTACTATTAGGTATATAATCAAAAAAATCGAAAGAATTCAAACAGATACCTGTGTACTGATGTTCATCGTAGCATTGACAACATCCAAAAGATGGGAACAACTCAAATACCCATAAACAGAGGAGTGAAAAAGCAAAACATGACATATACATACAATGGAAAAATTATTCAGCTTTAAAAAAAGAAGGAAATTCTGTTGCATGCTACAAGATTAATGAACCTAAAAACATTATTCTAAGTGAAATAAGCCAGGCCAAAAAATAAAAGGACAAATATTGTTTGATTCTACTTAATTGAGCTACCTAGGACAGGCAAATTCATAGAGTTAGTAGAATAGTGGTTGCCAGGGACAGGAGGGTGAGGATATGGGGAGTTACTGTTTAATGTGTACAGGGTTGAGAAGGTAAAAAAAATTCTGGAAATAGTGGCTGTTGTTATACAGCAATGTGATTATATGTTAAAATTATTAAATTTAATTTTGTAACTAAATTATAAATGACATATAATATTATAGTAGTTTCAGGTGTACAACATAATGATTCCTATTTTTGTATGTTACAAAATGGCCACCATAAGTCTGCTTACCATCTGTCACCATACAGATTACAATATTATTGACTATATTCCCTATGCTGTGCGTTACATTCCCATGACATTTATTTTATAGCTGGAAGTTTGTACCTCTTAATCCCCTTCACCTATTTTGTCATTTCCCTTCTCCTCCCACCACTCTGGCAACCACCAGTTTGTTCTCTGTATCTATAAGTCTGTTTCTGTTTTTTGTTTGTTTGTTCATTTGTTTTGTTTAGATTCTGCATATAAGTGAAATCATATGTTATTTATCTTTCTCTGTTTGACTTATTTCACTAAGCATAATACCTTCTAGATCCATCCATGTTGTTGCAAATGCAAATATTTCATTCCTTTTTATGGGT